AAAACTTTGGGACTGGTAGCCTGTCTAAACACAGGCAGATAATCTTCTCTTTACTCTTGAAGGCCATATAAATAAAATAAAAAATGAAAAAGAGGTAATTTCAAGAAAACCATGATATTGCTTGCTTACTAAGGTCCGTAGCCATTTCCTGCACATCTGCTGGATTCCCACATACTCTGTACTTGGGTATGGGGATGTCTGCATCCTTCAAAAGGCCAAAACTGAGATACTCATGGATGGAAAGGTTCCTCTGCTGCTGCTGTGGTTTACATGATGATGTGGGAGAAAAGGCAGCCAGAACCTGTGAAAGAAATATTTCATCAAAATCACATCTCTTTTTTCCAATAAGCAATCATTGATGTGATATCTTGATATCAAGCCAGAGTTTAATGAGACAGATTTCCCATTTGTATAGGAAAATATCTTACAGTAGCCATAAAATTAAAGTTGTCAACAGGCATTATGAGCTACAAACAATGCAGCTACCTTATACTCTCTTATCCTATACAAAAAGGTCAACTTGAACTGCACAACTTCCTAGTTCCATTGGCACTCATGTGTTCAAGGAAATTTCCACATTAAATAGCAGTATTTCAGAAAAAAAAGTATAAATGGATATCAAAAAAAATGGATGTAGCTCAAAACAACGACATGTGATAAAAGATAACAAAAAAACTGTGGATACATAATTTGACTGTGACAGAGTTTGGTTGTATTCGTTCATATTAACTTTCAGTCCAAACTGTTGTGGGGAAGAAAAAATGGCACCTGATATTGATTTTGTAAGAGGGATCTTAGAATAAATTCATTATTGGAAAGTTCATGAACATGAATGCGTAGCAAAACTTGACTAGGTTGACTGTTGGCAACCAGGTAGCTCAATTGGTAGAGCATTTGTCTAGAGTTCAGAGGGTCCCTGGTTTGAACATTTTTCTTCCTCGAGTCCTTTTACAAAATTGGTGAGCTTGTTGCCAACCCTTGTTTCAAGCAATGAGTGAATGCTTAGCAAGGGGATATCTGAACCTGAGTGTACGGGAAAGAAGACTCACGTAAAGGAAGGATCCAGGTAGCTTTGCCCTAAATCCTGTTTGCACTACGGGTTGTTTTGCCCTAAATCTTGTTTGCCCAAAGTTGTTTTGCCCTTATAAAATTATATATTTTAAAGTTTCGAATAACATTTGAAATATTTTTTATTATCAAAAAAGCTAACTATTTCTCATGTTTCATCACAGAACTGGATCTTAGTCAGTGGTTTTCACAAGCAAATGTCTTGTCGAAAGAATTCCATGCTACATTGTTTGTGCAGATCTGGACAACCATGTACAAATCTAACAAGTCTTATAACAAATAAAAGATTAGGGAGATCTAGAAAAAAATCAAATAAGACTATATTAACCAAAAGCAACTAAAAAGGACTTAAGAATTTCACCCTAAAAAATAAAAACTTAGTGCGAAACGACCCAGGGTGAACAGTATTTAGGGCGAAACGACTTGATACCAAAAGGAGTGAGGAATGTAATGGAACATGACTGGGTCGATCGTCAGTGACCAGGTAGCTCTATTAGTAGAACAGCTGTCTAGAGTTTGGAAGGTCCCGTTTTCGAAACCCAGTCTGGCCTTTGCATTTCTCTTTCTCCTGTTCAACCTGGTTACTCTTGCTCAGAGCACATGTCGGTCTTTCAATATGGCAATAGTGTGCTAACAATTTTGTGAACTATGCAGGTTTCTAATGTTTGAATGTTAAACAGATGTCACGGTATATGTCTGTTGGTGGCATGGCGATGCACCGTCTCCATCCCATGGACGTATAATTATTTATATGGATCTCAAACTGTGTTTTTATCTTCAAAAGACGTTAACAACGATATCTGTCATTTGAGAAATGTAAATCTTTGTTTCTTAAACGAAATTGAGTATCATGGAACTATCTACAACACCAATACGCTAATCAAATAAAAAATATCATATAAGTAAAGATATAGCATGAAAATAGAAATCTGACAGAAAATCCATTTTGTAAACAAATCAAGGACTCTTGATCATTCGGGAAGGACACACTATTTCAAGAGCATGGAAGGTTTTTTTTCACTTTCTTTTGCGGAAGCCAACTGCCATATGAAACATGTGTCTTCTAAATTGTTTTTAAGCCATGCAAAAACTTATTTTGTGGCGCTTTACCCTGTGAGTAGTCTGTAAGTTAACTTTTTCTGCTATCAGTCCACCGGTCCGAAATAGAGCGGACGCCATATTCGAATATGACGTCACTTCCTCCGTATCAGACTAAGTCCAAAAATGGAGCGAAATCCGGAAAAAATAAGAGCAAACATTCCATCCCGGATTTTCGGCTAATGAGGCGTTAAAATAAAATATTGTTGATCATAGTCATAAACAAATAAAATATCGCTAGGCCCATATCAAATAACAACTGTCAGTACCTGGATAAATTTACCCAGAGACAATAATATATGCAATATATACTGTGACGTCTCCGATCCATGATTTACCTAACATAAGTTTATCATGATCCAGGAATTCTCATCCGAGGGGCGGGAAAACGATGGTAGTAACTGCCGAATTTGTTTAAATGATCTTTATACAAGCAATAGACAGATTGATTAAGTCCGTGCATTGCCATACAAAATATAGTAGGGAGAGGGGCAATATTCAAAATGCATATATGAATTATATATAGCTTCTCCACCTTGTATGATTTATGTGATGAGTTGATAATGATTGAGTGTACAGAAAAATAAAAATAATTGGCATTGCATGGTCAGCTTTCAATATAAATTTATTTTTCCCATATGCTTACAAGTGTATATAGAAATTATCAGATTGTGAATATGTATTTTCTAATTTAAAGAAGTTGCACCAATCATTTTTCACGACAAGATGACAGGATCTGAGCTTTTCTCATCTTTTTATTTCTACATCTTATTATAAGCATCAAAAGCTGCTCAATGTTTTGAAGTGTGTGTTGAGGAGAACCATGATTAATCTGAATTCACCATGATATCAGAGACGTATATATCACATATACGTCTCTGATGATATGATATGTATCCGACGCACACAAGACACGTAGTTCAGCGCTCTTACTATTGATCATAGCACATATTACAATAAGTAACTGAAGTATACGCATGCAGTGGACAATGCACATGGAAATAATCAATAATTGATTGATAAATTTTTTTATTATTAAACTGTCCAAAGTTATCAATTTCTGAAGTACTATCCTCGAAACTCCTGACAAGAGTTTGCGCTCTCTTACCGACTGTCATATGAATTTGCACTCACCTGGAATATATACTTGTCACCAGGAATTCGAAGGATCTGCCAACGCCATCTTGTAAATGAAATAAATACATGTAACCAGTTTGATGTAAGGTGTAAATTAAAAGAATTGCACGGCAGCGTAACGGTTAAATTAGCTGGCTTTGAAATCGGATGTCACTCGTCTGTAATCTTTAAAGGACAAGTATCAGCCTAGTGCTTATCATTATTTTTTTGTACCCGAAACCAATCATGCCATGACATATACCAG